AAGACTGAATGTAATATAAACTTATAATAAATATGTATATATTTATAAACCTACAACTTACATTCTTAAATCTGTATCTCCGAAGGGTTCATAAATTTTATTTATTTATTTATTTAGCAAACAAGCCTTTCTCTAGAAGGTAAATTTTAAATTCGCAGGTCCTTACCTAATGAGGCAGTGTTTTTCAAATTACATTAAGATTTTTAACATGAAAAATTTCCAACAGACATGAAAGTTGAAAGAAAAGTAAAATAAATCCTTACATATATATTACCCAATTTTCATAGTTACTGAGACTACCAAGTCTCAGTAATTCATCCAAATGCTTTCTAATTTTATTTTGATGAAATATTTTATGTAAACTTTTTTTTTGTAAGAATAACAAACAGCAGGAAAGGTGCAGAAATCATAAGAACATACCCCTATAAGCATCTGTATCAGGAAGCAAAACATCAGCCGAACCCGAAGTCTTCTCATGCCCCTGTGGGGGCTCAGAAAACGACATCGCAAAATATGGCACTTTGACATGCTGAACTAAAGAGGCAGTCTCCAGGTCTCCTGACCTTCCCTTCACCTTTAGTCTCTTAATCCTATCTCTTCCAAAGCACAGAATGAGACTATTCTCTGAAATTCTCTTATCTACTCAAAAACCAAACCCACCAAAGAGGAGCACAATTGCCTTAGATACCCTCCCCGAAATTTCATCAGCCAAAGAAGAGTAAAATTCATATTGCAGAGGAAGAGACTGAAAATTAAACACCACACTTAAAACCCAGACAAACTAGGTCCCAAACTACTGCCTATTCTCATGTCCCATTCAATTTCCAACGAGAATCATTTCTTAGCATTGTCTGAGCACTGGGCCCATTCATCTCCCAAATCATTTACCTTATGAATGCCTACACCCCCATCTCCCTCTCCCCTATGAGGAGGGTATTTAAACCTCAACCATTTGGCCCTTCTTGGAGCCTCATCTTTGCAGGACTCCCATGTCCTTATGCATGTTTATATATCTGCATGCCTTTTTCTCCTATTAATCTCCGTGTCGTCTGTCATTTTAGCAAATCTTCAGTGGGTGGAGAGGAAACTTTCCCTCTGCCTTTATACCCCCTTTCAGTCACTGTTCCTAACCTCAAGGGTAACCAGTGTTATGATCTTTATCACCATAGATTAGTTTTGCCTGTTTGGGAAATTTTACATAAGTGAAATCACAGAGTACGTATTTTTGTGTCTGTCTTGATTTACTCAACATTATGAGATTCACCCATGGTGCAGCACTTTGTTGTAGTTTGTCCATTCTTGCTATTGTATAGTATTCAAAGAATGAATAGAACATTATTTATCCAGTTTAAATCTGTTGAACATTTGGGTTATTTCTAGTCTCTGGTATTAGAAATAGTGCTGCCGGCCGGGGGCGGTGGCTCACACCTGTAATCTTAGCACTCTGGGAGGCCAGGGCAGAGGGGTCGCTTGAGGTCAGGAGTTAGAGACCAGCCTGAGCAAGAGGAAGACCCTGTCTCTACTAAAAACAGAAAAATTAGCTGGGCGTGGTGGTGCGTGCCTATAATCCCAGCTACTGGGGAGGCTGAGGCAGGAGGACTGCTGTGAGCTAGGCTGACACCACGGCACTCTAGCCCAGGTGACAGAGTGAGACTCCGTCTTAAAAAAAAAAGAAAAAAAAAGAAATAGTGCTGCCATTAACATACTTGTACATGTCTTTTGGTGAACATATGTATGCATTTCTGTTGTATATGCATTCACAGATGTATCTTAAAGCAAATTTTGGACATTATTATTTCACCCTTACACATTCAGCATATTTTAGTATGCATCTCTAAGAAGTATGATGTTTTCTCACAAAACTGTGTTGCTTGCTACCATCCGATGCCTTGTCCTTTATCAATTAAAATGCATTTTTAAACGGGAAATTGACCTTTCTTCAGCATAGCTTATTAAGATAACAAGCTGAAAATACTGAACTTGAAATACTCCTAAGTTGATAGTAGTTTTCTTTAGCTTTGATGGACAGATCAGTCAAATAACCAAGAAGTATTTATTGAGCTCCTTTTTGGTGGGTCAACTAACTTATCTTTTTAGCATTATTCTCACTTACTGAGAGTGAGTGACCAACTGGAATTTAAGGGGAGATAACTATTTCTCTTGATAAATTGTTAGAGATGGAATTATTTATAGTAGATATTACAAAATAATAAAAACTTAACTCACAAGCAAAATGGACTGTTGAGCATACATTAATGAATAGTGACTTAAATGACTTTTTTCTATGTGTAGTGAATATTACAGCTATATTCTCAACAGATATTTAGAATAAATAATAATTAATATATAATTATAAGCACCATAATGGCTATATATAATATTATAGTACATAAAATAATTATATAAATTATGTGTAAATACATAAATTAAAATTTATATATTATTATAGTTAAATAATTAACAATGAATAATAAAAACATTTAAGGGAATGTCTTACCAAACAGACATTTGATTTCATTATTTTATGAAAATAATATCAATTGAAAGAGGTGAACTTCTTCATTTGGGATATGTGATGAATCAAATAATTTGGAATATCTTTGCTTGTTTACCCTTTCTTCATCTTCTCAGATTGGACTACTCTTAGTTTTAAAAAAAATTGATTTCTTTGGCTCTGATTTTCTTTTAATTTTATTATTTTCAACTCTGAAACTTATCTTAGAAGATCTTGCCTCAAGTTCTAATTTTCCAAGAATTTTATATATTTATTTAAAAATATTGTATATTTATTATAGGTTTTTCTAGATGTTTGCAATAAATATAAAAATTCTTATATCAATGTGATACTTCGATAGTTATGTTCTAAAATCAAAAGAACAGCATAGACACAATAGAAACTAGTTAAGCTTTCTGCTTTTGCTTTGAATCTTTTTTTTTTTTACTTTTTGGTCACTCAAAGCAACAAAAGCAATGGCGACAATAATAACAGCTATGATTTACTAAGCTTCACTAGGTACCAAGTACTATGTTAATTATTTCACATAAAACATTTGTAATCTTCATAAAAATACTGTATGATAGTTTAATAATACTAATAATTAATAATAATTTATGCTTATATTGCAAATGAAGAGACCAAGGCTCAGAGAAGTTAAATAACTTTTTAATTTTCACATAGTTGGTAAGTGATGGAGGCAGGATTCCAATTCATTTTTCTTTTTTTTTGACTGAGTCAAGATTTCTTTTATACAAAGTGAATTCGCTTTATACTGCTATGGCATCTGTGCAAGCAGAATTATGAGCTCTATGATGTAGTTATGTTAACTTTCAGTACATTTTTAAAGAAATGTCATTAAAAAATGCTTTTTTACCAACCTCATGGGATGTCGGGTTCTAAAAAATTAATATTCTTTCTATTAATGTTTATAAAAAGAGCCCTAAACTATTTAGGAAATTTTTATATTGCATATAAAACATGCATATTTTTAGGAAACTATTTCTACAAGTTAATAGCTTTAAAATATAGGTACAAATAATCAATTAAATCTTATCTAACTTTACTCATCTATTATGATATGCTGAGGCATAACAGATGCACGGAAGGTGCCAAGAACCTTGACTAATTGTCATGCCACATCTTATATGGAACTAATAACATATAGGATCTGAGCATTCATTTTAAAGAAAGATATCATTAAACATTCTGATGCAAAATGTTTGCTTCTGTAATGAGGAGCCATGTGATTTGGCTTTCTGGAAATCACATTGCTAGTTATTTATCTATATCCTCATCAGTCTAATATCAAATTATATTTCATCTTTCCCAACTTCTAAGTTGCCTTCAATATAAAGAATGAAGCAAAAATTTTGGATGGAACAAATTCATAATGCTTGAAAACATTTGCCCATTTGCCTTTTATAATCATAGCTCTAGTCTCTTTTCTGATTAAAAATTGAGCTTACTAATAAAATGAAGATTAGTTACTTCCCATGTGTTAAATAAAATATTAGTATTCTAAACTTAATAAACTATTACCATGGGGAATCTGTATTCTTTCTTAGGGGAATCATTAATGCTTTCTAACCCTGCTTGTCGGCTTCCTTGTCATGGTCAATGTTTTTAAAGGTCCCCAGTTCTTCCAAGCAAGGAAATAAAAATAAATAAATAAATAAATATCCTCAGGAGTTTGGAGTGTGTGTTATGTGTGTGGTGTGTGTGGTGTAAGGTAGGTGTGTGTGTGTGTGTTTGTGTGACTTTTTTTGTTTGTGGGGAGGTAGGGGGTAGGATGGAATGGGTGTGAGGGTGTGGTGGTTAATTTTAGGTATCAATTTGGTGAGATTAAGGAATGCCTAGAGAACTGGTTAAGCATTACTTCTGGGTGTGCCTGTGAGGGTGTTTCCAGAGGAGACTGGTGTGTGAGCTAGTGGACCAAGTGGGGAAGACCTGCCCTTAATTTGCGCAGGCACCATCCAATAGGCTGGGGACTTGGACAGAATAAAAAAGGAGAGAAAGGATTTCCTCTCTCTTTCTCTCCCTCTTTCTCTCTCTCTCTGTCTCTCTCTCCTGGAGCTGGGACACTCTCCTCCTCCTGCCCTTGGAACTCAGAACTCCAGACTTTCTGGCCTTGGGACTCCAGGACTCACACCAGTGGCCCCCTGGGTTCTCAGGTCTTCAGCCTTGAACTGAGAATTATTCTATTGTCTTCCTGGTTCTGAGGCTTTTGGACTTGGGCTGAGCCATGCTACTGGCATCCCAGGATCTCCAGCTTGCAGGTAGCCTGTCATGGGACTTCTCAGCCTCCATAGTTGTGTAAGCCAATTCCCCTGATAAATCCCCTATCTATCTATCTGTCTATCTATCTATCTATCCTGTTGATTCTGTCTCTCTGGAGAATCTTCCTGATACAGAGGGTTATCGTGGGCAAGTAGGGAGAGGAAAACAGAATATATTAAAGATAGGAACTTTCAAATTAGTGTTGCTAAGTGTACATGTGTATTTCTTTTTGTTGTTGTCCCAGGTTTATTAAAATATTACAGCATAGCAGAAAGATTCAAATGGCTCTACGTGGTGTTTTGAAATTCATCCCAACTGTAGGCTGAGTGACCTGCAGGTTGGACAGACTGCCAAAGTCCAAAAGTTTCAGCATTTCCTTAGCGTCAGGATCTACTTCAATGATCTCCAGATTGAGGGCTGAGACCTCTGGGACATGGTTATCTCTCCTTTCTCTCTCCTCCTCCTGCAGCTTGATGGAGAGACCTCTCACCGGGCCTCTCTGAATCCACTTCATCAAATACGTGATGTAGCCTCCTATCTTGTTTCTGTCTTCTTGCTGGGAATAAGGGCGATCTCCTGACATGTGCGATTGTTCGTGTGGAAGTCATTTCCCAGAGGCGTCTAGTATTTCTCAACGATGACCCAGCTGCCTTCTTCATGGTTTTGGTACGAACGTGGCCCATGTTGACGGGTCCACAGTAAAAGAGCACATGTGTACCTCTGAGGTAATACTTTCTCATCATCGGAAGCTTTAAAACAGAGGCTGTAAGACCTTTGATCAATATATTGTGTAGGGGATTTTGATATTTGGATTTAATATCAAGGCCACTTATAAATCTAAGATTCTGGAAATCCATGATTCTAAATGGTAAGAAACTGCTTAGAGGTCTTTGGATGGTGATTATAAATTAGATCAAGTCCAAAGGGGAAGAGGTTTTTTTTTTTCTACTTGAATGGCTACAAGAGCAGTTTCAAACACATGATAATAATAGTGCTTTGTCTTATAAGATGAAAGTTTGATTCCTTTGTCCATTTTGTATTATCAACAGTAATTCAATTAAAATTTTATTTCAAGCTCGTCTTTTATCAGAAGCATTGTCTTTGGTATGCTTGCATTCTAATATACCCTATATAAGTCATTCAAACTGGTGAGCATCTCATTTGGCAAAAAGAATGCAGTTGTTTTTCATAAACAGCAGTTTGGAAAACTGGGTACAGAGAACAAACTGTTCACTTAGCGTTGCAGTTACTTTGTTCTATTCCTCTGTAATATGCTCTAATTTTATTACCATAAACAAATGAAAGGCGTAGGGATAGGAAATGGGGTACAGGCCATATCCTGAATTGGCTTTCAATTGTGACTTGTTCTGATTCCATTCATAGATCCAAAAATGGCTATTCTGAAATTAAATTTTGTTGGCATATCTAGGCTATCATTTTCTTTTGTTTTATGGAGCTGATCTTCATTCTGTGGGATGATATGATTCAGGTCTAGCTGGTCATTCTATCATTTCACATGGTGAAGCTTGTCCTCAGTGAGATTGGATTATGTTTAGGAATTCACTTTCTCTTTAGCAATGGATGAATGTCTGTCATTAACTTAATTTTTCCTCAGCTGTCATCCTTTCTGTGACCTGAATCAGCATCACCTGGGATGATTGTTAAAATGCAGATTCCAACAACAAATTTACAGAATCAAAAATGCAGGGAATTTCATTCTTAGCAAATTTTCTAGGTGATTCTTATTTAACCTAACATTTAAAAACCAGGATGTTGTCGCTTATTCTATATTGTCTCCCATTTACTAGCTTCTCAAAGAAAGGTCCATTACTCTTACACTAGCCTGGCTCCTCCTCAGTTGCAAGTCTTCTTGACTGAGATAAATCTTCCTTTTTGTTCCTTGAACCTTGCCCTCTGGTTGTCAGATCTACAATTTAATGTTGAAAAAGAATATTTCGATGGTTAAATTTTATGGATCAACTTAGCTAAGCTATGGTGGCCAGTTGTTTGGTCAAACATTAATGTAGATATTGCTATGAAGATGTTTTTTGGATGCGATTAAGATCTATCATCAGTCAAGTTTAAGTAAAAGAGAGTGACTTAGATAACGTGGGTGGGTCTCATCCAATCAGTTGCCTTAAGAGCAAAATCTGAGATTTTTCAGAGAAGAAAGAATTCTGCTTCAAGACTGTGACACAGGCCAGGCATGGTGGCTCACGCCTGTATTCCTAGCACTTTGGGAGGCAGAGTTGGGAGGACCGCATGAGCTCAGGAGTTCAAGACCACCCTCAGCAAGAGCAAGACCACGTCTCTACTAAAAATAGAAAGAAATTAGCTGGGCAACTAAAAATAGAAAAAATTAGCTGGGCATGGTGGCACATGCCTGTAGTCCCAACTACTCAGAAGGCTGAGGCAGTAGGATTGTTTGAGCCCAGGAGTTTGAGGTTGCTGTGAGTTAGGCTGACAGCACAGCACTCTAGCCCAGGCAACAGAGTGAGACTCTGTCTCAAAATTAAATAAATAAATAAAAAATAAAACAAAATAAAAGACTGTGACACAGAAATCTTGCCTGAGTTTCCAGCATGCCAGACTGCCCTAAAGATTTTAGATTTCAGACTTGCCAGCCCCCTAACCCCTATTACCACATAAAGCAATTCCTTAAAATCTCTCTCTCTCTCTGGAAAACTGATTGGAACAAATACCTCTAAATGCCCATGTGACTCTCATGTTCAGGGGTTCATGTTCTCAGGAACTCCTTTGCTCCCTCACTGTGTGTGTTTATATAGTCCATACGTCTAATTTCTGCCTTGAATCTTATATTACTCCTTGACTCCCCTCAGCTGGCTCTAATACAAAGCCTTATTCAGAACAATGCCATCCTACCTTTCTACTGTTCAGCTCGTCTAATTCCTACATGTTGTTTGCTTTCTGTATTTCCTGATTCTCATCTCCATTTAACAGACTGAGAAGATCAAAGCTGAAATGTAGGCCACTACGTTATTTATGTACTCTACCTTTACAAATGAGGCATTTGCCTTAGGACCTAACTTGTTTTAGGACATAGGTATCATTTTAGATTCTCTATGCACCCCCAGCCCTTTTATCTTGTCTTTTCCAATTTTTTTCAAGCAGATCATCATGCCTTGAGTCTGCCTATTAATTTATCAGTATAAATATCCTTAGTGTTATCAAATAATTATATTTTTGTTACCTTATTTTCTTCTAAATTTTTGTCTCAAGCTTTAAAAAAATAAGTGGAATGAGATGAGAAAAAATTTGATCATCCTTAACAATTGGCTTTAGAATTCCTTTCCTGGTGAGAAGGGTTTTTGGGTAAAAGTTCACCTGGGATAAATTGTACTTTGTGGCAAGGGTGTAGCAGTTACCAAGGTCATATATTATAGTTGGTGGCAGTATGGTATAGTGGCTTAAAGGACAAGCTCTAGGATCAGACTGCACTGGTTTAAATCCCAGCTCTGCCACTAATGAGCGGTGTGAACTTAGAAAAATTACTAAATCTTTTAGTTTTTTATCTATCAAAAATATAATATTAATAGTTACCTCCTATGATTATGAGGATTAAGTGTGATAATACTTGTAAAACACTTAACACTGTGTCCGAAACATATAAAATACTCAACAAATGGTAGCTATTATTATTTTCATCATCAGAAGTAGTAAAGTTCTTTAGATCTGCAGTTCCCAAACCCTGGGCTGCTGGGGACCGGTACTGGTCTGTGGCCTGTTACGAACCAAGCCACACAACAGGAGGTGACCAGCAGGCAAGCAAGCCAAGCTTCATCTGTATTTACAGTTGCTCCCCATCGCTGGCATGGCCACATAAGCTCTGCCTCCCATCAGATCCGCGGAGGCAATAGGTTCTCACAGGAGCATGAACCCTCTTGTATACTGTGCGTGGAGGGATCTAGGTTGTGCGCTCCTTATAGGAGTCTAATGCCTGATGATCTGAGGTGGAGCTGAGATGGTGATGTTAGCACTGGGGAGTAGCTGCTATTTGCAGATTATCATTAGCTTAGAGGTTTGACTGCACAATAAATGTAATGTGCTTGAATCCCCACCCTCGCACCCCCCCCCAGTCCGTGGAAAAATTGTCTTTGGTGAAAATGGTCCCTGGTGCCAAAAAGGTTGGGGACTGCTGCTGTAGAAGACATAAAGAGAAAGGGAGAGGATTCCAGAGAGTTGGGGAAAATCTCAAACTATATTACAATAGTAGGGTGCCAGAAGGACATTAAAAAATAGTTCATACTTAATATTCTATGGGAAATTATTTGAGTTGCTGAGATAGAAGCCTATTTTCTATCTCTTCTTCCAAAGTCTATTAAACTTGTGAATGCTCCATGCCATCAGAGTGCGCGTATGTGACATTGGAGGGAGGGTTGAGTTTCATATCCAGGTTCAAGCTATGCATAATAAAGATTGTGTACATGGCAGCAGAATGAAGATGGCCAAAGCGGTTCTGAGAACAAAAACCCCTCAGTAATTTATCATTTTTGGAAGAGTTTTGTATTTTGAAAATAAGATCAAGCCAAGTTGGCTCAGTTCACAAGGACAGAGAATGCTCACCTGATATCTTTGTTAAGTTAGTGATTTTTTTTCTAGTAATTTTTGTTATAAAAATAGAACATGCTCTTTGTAGTGCTCCACATTGCTCATTCTTTGAAGGGCATCATAAATTAGTGAAGACTAACACTACAACGTTAGCTACTACTGCAGTGATCACTAATAAGTAATTTACATCTTTACTTACATCTATAATCCAAGAATGAGGATTAAATTTATATTCCCAAATTATACTTTCTAAAATATCCCTTACAGACCTTGTAATTTCTCTGAAGGATCTTATGAACCTCCCAAAACCTTCCCAGAAACCCAGATCTTTCAATCCCCTTGTCCCTCTCCTCAGGTCTTTCTTATGCAAATAGATGTAGCCTTTGTGGCTAAGGACTCTCTCATCTTCCCTCTCTCCATTCTCTCATTCTTACACTTTTGCATCACAAAAGAACAGATCCAGCAAGGAGGAATTCCCAGAAAGTAGAAAGGAAGAGAATCTAAATGGGCAATGACAAAATTATCTTTAATAGGAATAGAGAAAAGGACAGGAAAACAGAATAACGCTGTCACATTAAAAAGCTTTTTCTCCTGGTCATACCCAGAAAATCTAAAAGAAAAAAAATTACCTGGAATTTAATTACCTATGCCCTTTAAGTTTCTTGAGAGGGACTGATCATCATGCATTAACATGGGTTAATGTTTAATCCATGTTTGATCATATGTTAATATCAAATATATAATGTAAGCCATATTTTAAGACACTAAAATCTTAAATGATACTAACAAAATAGGGTCATTAACATGCTGAGAAGGACAGCACAAGAAAGATAATTAAAGGCCAATTTCTCTAATAAACATATATCATACAAGAAATTATTCTAGCCTCATAAAATGATCTTGGAATTGTAACTTCTATTACCATTCTCTAGAAGACTTGGATATGATTGGAATGGTTAAAAGTCTTAAATTTCTTGAATGCTTGAAAGTCTTCATTAGTGATGTCATTTGGACCTGGGGCCATGTGACAATATTTTTGATTTTTGGTTCAATTTCTTCAATAGTGTAGGACTACCCAGGTAATTCTATTTTTGCCTGAATCAGTTTTACGAGT